GTCCGCGAACCTGATGGCACGTTCAAGCACCCGAGTGGATTCATTCCGCCCACTCCTGTTCAAGGGTTTGAGTCCGTTGACTCTGCACCCTCGATGGGTAGAGATACCGAGGTGATTGTCAGGCAACGCGTCCATGACTCCAAGCGTTAGGACGCTATCGTTTGCATTGGAATCGGAGAGGTCAAGTAATCGACCACTGACCCTACTTTGAATGAGCAGTTCCTGTCTTTTGGGTAGTTATCGATACCTCAACTGCATTGTCGTTTGTAGCAGTACGTAGTTCATCTTGTACTTCATTCAATGAAGAAGGCCAACAATTTGCCTGATGCACATTACCTGTCATTGCTCTTATGTGAATTCACTCATTCCTTTCCTTGTACTTCTGCAGGCCATTGATATTGAGAGTAGGCAGTATATTGGGCGTATTGTAGACGAACAAAAACAAATTGTTTTGGACAAGGCAGATTTCACGCACTGTTCATCGACGTAAAAGGACCAAGACACTATTTATGGTACTTGCTATGGCGAGGAAAAGCACACTTGCTGGAAGTTTTGAGAAACCAGTACTTTCAAAGTGGCCTGTAACTGTTTTCCGAGTCTCGGCCGTTACGATAGTAGTCCCTGGACCTTCCACTATCCCGCAGCGATGTCGAGTGCCTGTCGCTCGCATACCCGTTTCCAGAGTAGTTGCTCGAGTTAGAGTAGCCAACAGGTTCATACCGCGAGGGCCGAGGACTAAGAGAGCGACGACTGAGAGGACATTATTAATTCGTCAAATAGAGTCGCTCAGGCATCCACGCACCGATATCGGGCAGTCTCCAAGCTGCGGCTCCGGGGTGGGGTTACTGGCCGACTACGTTCCACACGCTCCGGCTGTTCATAACTGTTACGAAACACGTTAATCACAAATGTAAGCAGGTCCCGCTAATTGGTCATAGCATACCGCGAAGGCTTATCATAGTAATCTCGGCGACTGGGAGGGGGGCCAGGTGGCGTCCTTGGTCGACCGCTAATCGGTGGCTCGTACCTATCATCCACAGCTCTTCTATCATAGCGATCGTAGTCCCGAGGGGGGGCCGGCGGGTTCCTTGACGAGAATGAGTCCCGCTCGTATCCGGATCGGTCGTACCGCGAGGAAGGTGGGCCCCTAGTCCTGTATTCGTCGTAATCACGCGAGGACCGCGGAGCGGGCATCGGATAATCACGCTGGTCCTTCGGAGGACTTGGCAGGCGTCGGTAATCCCTCGAGGGTGGCGGAGAGGAGTCATAATAGCGACTCTCTCGAGACGCATACCGACCAGTGTCGTCTCGGTGAGCAGGATAGTCACGTGATGAAGTGTAGTCCCGCGGATGTAGGCGATCAAGTAGAGTCGATTCAGTCATAGCTCCACTGCGTCTGGAAAGAATCGTGTACAAGTCAAAACGCGAAGAGGTTGTTCATAGGTTGACCTACGAGTGTGAACTCTGGCGAGAACATTCCCTGTCAAACCGCCTGTGAGTAAGTTCGCACCTATGGTGCTTAGAGCGTGCACACTTTGCCCAGTGACCATTTTCTCCACACTTGAAGCATGCACCGGGATCCTCGATTCGTCTTGTGGCGCGTCCCTTACCGTGCGCTATCTCGACGCGCACCTTATTTCCCATGAAATACCCCTCGTGATACTTTGCGACACTTTCTTCTGCTGACCTGCGATTATCAAATTCCTGACCAGAATGGTTGATATTATCTACGAAGGTCGATACTCAACACACCCACCACGAAGCCATAGCCGGTCCTAGAAAAACCCGATGAGTTCAGATGTGGGCTACCGAGACGGGAAAAATATACTGAGACCCACTTTAACTCAATGTTAATGATATTGCCGAGCTTCCCAAACCCATTCCGAAGGTCCTCGGGGCGTGTGTTTTCGGGTAGACCGCCAATGTATACCTTGTTCGGCTGGGCGATACGCAAATTCGAGTTTCAATACCAGGAACACAGAAGACAAGAGACACGGGAAGTAAAGTAGACAAGGCCGGTCGCAGGAGTAGAACGCTCCTGCATGAGAAGAGAAGCCCATCGGGGGCTAGCTAGACCTTAATGAACATGTACGTGGCGACCCAGCCTAGCAACAGTCAAACCAACAGGAGCCAGCGGTGCCAAGTAAATATCAAGTATCCAGCCACTAGACAGTGAGGGGTGACCAAGCAACAGCAGATGTCGCCATAGACGGACGCCATGACGAGCGAACAGTGGACGCAGGAGAGACGAAACGAGAAAACAAGTGAACTGTTAAGCACCTTGGGTGGTCTGTCGCGAGAAGTATCGTCCCTGGGCTTGAGGTTGCCGGTCGCCATCTCTTCGCTGTTGCTATTCACAAGAGTAGAGGGGTCTTCCGCAGCGACGGCAGTCGGGAGGTCATCCATGACAGTATCATGGTCAAGTTTGACAGGGCCCATATCGTCGATGTCTTGGTCGTCTACTGCGCCCCACCTGTCCCTAGTACGGATGTCGTCCACGACACTGGGGGAGGCAGCCATAACACCAAGTGGTGGAGAGAAAGCAAAAAAGTTAAGACAACCGAGCGCCCACAACAGGGGAACGACCTCTGAAATCAAACTCCGCTTGCAACGTCGCTATTACGTAAACGTCCCATTACATAAGTAAAAAAGAGGAAAAAGAAATATGTAGGTATCCGTCCATCCCCAAATTATACATCCCACTACACAAGTGTCAAGACACCACTAACTATACTCGTCGCCACGAGAACGCTGACACCGATGAAAATTCTCCCGTCGAAAGCTGTAGTCGAGGTGCCGCTAGACGAATTTGATCCGCCAGAGGATCCAGCACCAGTGGGGGTCGTCGATGCAACTCCACTGGGCAACGTCGGCACAAAGGTACCAGTGGCGGTCGCCAAGCACGAAGATGCCACCGAGGTAGGGGAGGATTTAGCATTCGTATTGACGGTGCCATTGCCACCAAAGCTGCATGACTGAGAGTTGTCGTTAGTGGCGCTGTAATACTCGCTCATAACATATGACAACATGATAGCTAAGGGACGTCAATATCAGCGAGTGTACCTGCTCACACGAACACAACACGTACTTGGGTCGCACTGAGAAACAAGGCCATATGTGCCATTCATGCCATTGGCAGAGATGTCATTGCAGGAGCCTCCGGACTGACCAAGTAGGCTGCAGCCGTAATTCAACAAGGACCCCACGATTGAGGTATAGTTAGATGTCGTGGGAGTAAACTGACAGCCAAGATTATTCTCTAAGCACGTGCATGCTGATAGGTTGGGTGTCGGGGGCAAGCTAGTTGAGGCTTGGAAGGTGGAATTTTGTTGGGGGCACGACGGGTAGCTAGTCGAACCGGCGGAACTTTGCGAGGGCGAGTTCGGCGGCGATGCCTGCGCATATTGTGCTGCCAGGTTATCAAAGTCTTGCCCAGTGATGACAGAGCTGCCATTGGACGATATATTCACCATGCCGAACTGGCCTTGGGCACTGGTTGCTGGGAAGTATGAAAACGCAATGCCACCAGACCAGTCGGGGGACATCTCAGAGCTGAAAATGGCACCGACTTCGGTCCAAGGGCGTGGAGTCCCCGCAGTGATACAACCAAATTCACTGAAGTAGGCAGGAACATTGTACCCAGCGAATTCGCCCTCCGTACCCGCATAAGCTGCTTGAAAGGTGGAATCGCCGCACCACTCGCTAGAATAGAACAGAGTATTAGTTACACTGACAGAACGTGCCGGTCAATAACACTGACTAGTTATTCAAGCCATAAAGATCGATAGCGGTAGCACCTGAATTTGAACCAGACGGATCGCAGGACAGGTAATTAGCCAAGGGAACGATCCATGATGCATCCCCGTCTATAGCTGCATAACCAACCAGAGCGGAGGACTTAACGGAGTTGCTAACATCGTGCGTCAAAACGTGTTAGCCAAAGTAGGAAAACGTTTTCATTGCTTACAGGTAAGCTTTGACGTCACGAGCTGCGGCTTTGACAAATGTGGCAGCATCGGTTTCGTTAGACTGCGTAACAACCTCATTCCCAACGTTGTAGGCGAGTACGTTGTCATACTTTGAGAATGTGTTGACGGTCTCAAGGTAGAGATCCAAGAGGTTCGTAGTCCATGCAGGAGATATGCTGTCAATGGACCCATTGATTGGCAGTGATAAATCGATGCTGACAAGCTACAAGTTCGTGGGGCGGTGATAGTTTGAAGGACAAGAACTCACATAGTGTATATACCTGCGTTGCTAAATAATTCCATACATGTGTCATGGTTGAGACTAGAATCGACGCTGTAAACTCGAATAGTATTGACTCCAAGTTGTTGGAGGTAAGGTAGGTCGCGTTGGCAAGAGGTTCCGTTGGCGAGGGAATCAATATAGGTAGATGGCTCCAAGAATGGATTGCTAGCGTCAGCCACGATAGCACCTGGTGACGATGCGTCAATCTCGACTGAAGATGGAACATGCATTACAATTCACAGACCTTGCTGCTGATATGCAACGCCCTTGATGTAGAACCTGTTTCCGTCCGCCGTGTAGAGGTATCTGCCAGCCCTAGTGACCTTTTGGATGGCATGCACGCCGGAGACGACAAGCGCTGCCGCAGTGAGACCGGCAGCGATGCGATAAAGCGAGCGCATAGCAGCCAGGATGTTATTTCTTTTATTTAAAGACTGATAGAGAGTGTGGAAGAGAGGAACAAAAAGGACAGCGGGTGGTTGACTGCTCTCCTGCCCTTCCTCGGCAGCCCATTTTATCAACGGTGCCGATTAGTAAGACGTCATCACTTGACGCCCTGCAGGAACAAAAGGTCTAGACGCGTTGGACCTGACCATACAGTACATGAATTAACGATCCTTAAAGCATACGACATGCATCGCCCATGTACTACTCGCACACAAGGCTTGTCTACGGCGTCTGTGTGTGGTGGTATGTGATGAATTAAGACATTGCTCCCATTGTGGGACAAGCAGACGCTGTCTATCGTCGCCCGCCTAGCTCAATCGGATAGAGCGTCAGACTCTTAAAAGTTAGGCGATCTGAAGGCTGCGAGTTCGACCCTCGCGGTGGGCTATAGAATTTCTCTTTTTTTTTCACCCTTTCTCTTCAACTTGCAGAACTCATCACCCTTCTCCATACTGCCCGCCTATGTCTTGTTCAAACAGCGCGTCATCTCCAAGTCAAACGACTGCATAGAATTGCACAATAAGTACAAAAACGTAGTGCTGCGACAGTTTAAGCCATTAAAGAGAACATTGCTTTAGATGATGGAGGGACCAAGATTAACGCTATACAAATGCGACGGACGGTGGGGAAAGTGAAGTGTTCAGAAAGCAAGCAAAATAGTACTGCAGGGAAGTTGGTTGTATGCCGGATCAATGTACAATTGCGGTGGTGGTATTGATCGAAGCCGGCCGATCCCCTTGGCGTAAAATACCTCCCAAACAAACCGCCAGCTTGAGCGAGCCATGCAACGCGAGTGAGGTATCGGTCGTCAAAATGCGAAGGCCATAGAATATACATAGAAATAGGGATTGGTGAGAACGCAGGCCCATCGGTCGAACTGAATCGGCATGCAACACAGCGGTCACCCCCTCACATGCCGTAGCCGTAGGTCTGGTAAGGATCATTTGACGATCCGGCGAGCCCAACGTTGCCAAACGGGCTCACATTTGCATACCCGGAAACGCCAGAGTATCCACCACCGTGGGAGTGAGGCGGAGTCAGCCTGGTGTTGTGTGGAGAGTGGCTTTGCAGAACATATTCATCAATCGATCGTGCTCCAAGACCATGCATCTGAGGAGCTACCGGACCGTGACCATACGCTCCTTGACCCTGAATCCCGTACAGGCTGGGTTGAGAGCCGTAAAGGTCCGTCATGGGCATATTCATATTTTGGGGGTGACGTGCAGTGGGCCCCAGAGGAGTGGGTCCAAGTCCTACAGCTTGGTTGCCGAGATGGATGTTGGCCATTGCCTGAGGACCCTGGTATCCGCCGCCGTAGTTGTCGACATGTTCGCGTTGGAGCTTGTTTTGGATCCGTTTCCCGTATGGGGTATTCCGAATCAACGGCAACACAGGTCGAATGCCTTCGACAAGCAGGGCACGTTGACTAGCCTCCGCATAATCCAGGGCAGTCTAGAAGAAAGAACCTGAGCACAAGCGACCGAATCAGCATATACACTACTCACTTGAACACAGTAGTTGCCATATGAGTCACGCAGAAGTTTCTCCAGACGCGACCGATTGAGTAGTTCTTCGATAATCATCTTCCTAGTGTTGTGCTCCGCAACTCGGATACACTGAGTAACAGATGAACCATAAATGAAATTGTCAGACATCAAAACCAACCTTCTCGATCACATTTGAACTAAACTTTTGGACGGACAATGCGCAAATATTCCCAGTGAATTGGCGGATGACTGCGTCGCTGAAGCGATTGTCGTTCAGATCCAAGATGTATTGCACGACCTGAGGTACTGGTAAGCAGTAGCAGTAGAACGAGTGCAATGACTCACATAGTTCCCATATGGATCCTGGACCAGAGTAAGAGCATTATATGTGATTTCGTTCACAAGTTGGATGCGCTGATGGTCAGAAGCATGATCAATGCACCGCTGTAGTACACAACATCCGTGACGATGGGTAGCAACTTCCACGCAGTTAGCAGCGACAGCATTGTAAATAAACTGTCACAGAATCAGATAAGCTACGGAGGAATTCAAGGCTCGGTACCTGATTGTCTTCAGGAGCAAGCTTGTTGAGGCACTTCTGTATGACATGATTGCCATTGAGATCTTTGATTAGCACAACAACGTGAAGGCTAAGCGCGACAATGATCGAGTGAATCTGTATATTATATCTTTGATCAGCCTACACTCCTGCCGTAAGTGTTGAAGCGAAAAAACACTGGGATCTGACTTGCCTGCCGTCTAGTTGACAGGAAGTCAATCATTTTTTGTACAGCACGAGTACCGTGCATATTCAGCGAGATATTGACCAAATCTTGAGCGACGGACTCGCAAATCAAATTCCGTTGCTCATCCGTGGAGTATTCCAGCAATTTCTGACATAGGTAGTTGCCAAACGGGTCTTTGCAACAACGTGAATTCCTCCGCAAATAACAGAGGGACAGAAGGTGCATACCTGTCATCAAATCGGCGAAGTGACCAAATGTTTCCCGAAATATCATGTCACGGTGTTCCGGAATACCCTCTTCTAGTTTCTTCTGGAGGTAACGACACCCATGCTGGTCCTTGCAAAGGGCGAGAATCTCCCCTTGTAGGTCCTCCAAGCGAGTCCCTGCGAAGCGATTGACTACAAAGGATCCTCAGCCATACTACGTTGAGAACGGAGGGCAAACGTACGATCCATATCGCCTCGTTTATGCTTCGGTCCGTGGAGCCCGTTCATTTTTCCGTCAGGCCCTCCGCGACCCATCCCGAGTCCATAGCGCGAGCTGCTGTGATGATAGAGAGCGGTCGAACCACTAGCAGCACCATTCACATCGTGGCCACTGCGGGCACTGGAATCAAACCCATAAGTGTTGTAGCGCGCACTATCAAGCCGATTGTTGAGGTTATACGCCGAATCCACGCTGTATTGCTGTAACATGACTGAGCGAGAATTAACAAGAAAAAGCTATCCTCGAACCTCAAACGACAGCGGGGCAGATCCGTCGTATTGGCCCGACGGAAGACGCGACAAAGATGGCTGAATATCAGTTTTCGTCTCGTTGCCCAAGTGCTGACTGCCTTGAGCTGAAATGCGTCCACTCATGCTTTGACCATCAGGCGTCAGCGGTGTTCCAGGAGCTTGGAGCAAATGGGAGTTTCCATTGGTGATAGAAAGAGGAGTAGCAGGCACTGATCTCGTTGCTGCAAAACTCTCAAGAGCTCCTGCAGGAGAACTCCTGCGAGACGAGGGCACCGGACCAACCGATCCGAGGGTCATCTGAGGATGTTGGCTGACCGGCGGCGTCGACGTTCCAGAAACTACAGTAGACAATCTGGCACTGAGATCCATGGGCGACGATGTAAGTGTAACCGTCGGTGTTGTGACGGTGCGGCGTTCAGCACGTGAGGCAAGGCCTTCCGGAATGCGAGGATTGCCAGTAAATTGTGGCCACTCGGACGGCTTGTCGCGACCTGTGAACGAATTGCGCGGGGAGGTTTGCGACCGGTGCGCAAGATCCAAGGCGGCAGACGAAGTTGATATCTAGCCTGATATATAGGTTCGGTGAAGAACACAAACTAGAAGTGCTCACCTTATTTGCATAAGCTGCAAACTTGTCATCGTCCGACGTTGGCAAGTTCCTCATCGCATCTTTGAAAAGTAAGGAAACTGAACGCGAAAAAGGAGGGATGACTTACTATGCATTTCCTGGTCTAACTGTTGGTCAAGCATCATGCCAACGTTAAGTTGTTGGCCAGTGCCAGCATGTTCCTCCTCGCTAAAACGCGCTCTCGTCAATATGGACTGAGCGACAGGGCCCGGACTCGGGGAAGCTCCGGTAGGTCTTTCACCAGAGAGGGCCATGCCTCGAAAGTGTTCTGCAAGTTCTTCATCGTGGCTGCTCGTAGACGTGCGACGACTTGCGGGCATGCTTTTCGCCCCTCCACGAGCGTACTGACCATTGAGCATATGGTTTGGCCCAAGCTCAGGGGAGCGATCGACAGCAGGCGCATAGGTGACCGATTTCCTCTTGTCAACAGCAAAGCCAACAGCTTTGGACAGAACGTCGGCGTCGACCGAAGAATGAGACAGTGATGACTTCGTGAATCCGTCTCCTTGCAGGATGGCATTTACCCGGGGAGGAGTTGTTGGGGCAGAGACAGCCAAATGAGCGGAAGTCATCGACTCGTACGGGATACTGAGGAGCTCCTGCGCCTGCTGGTGCTCCAATGCACGCATCTGATCTTCAAACATCTTCCTTTGCAGTGTGCGCTGACGTTCGTGTTCCAATCTCTTTAACTCCACGCGCTTTTGACAAGTATCGGGTTTGAGATCCACAACCTCGTACGGAGGACGGTTGAACGCAAAAAACTCACCGCCGAAATATCGGGCATATTGGTACCTAGCCTCGCAGCCTGTCACACGTCGCAATTGTTTTTTTAAGAAAACACCAGAGTTGCAGTGTTAAAGAGTTGGACATACCGAGTCTGCGAGGTCGAGGAAAGCAGGAGGGCTCTGCTTTCTCCCATCGGAGGTACGATTATCGGCTGAAACATTAATGTTTTCTGCGGTATTCATCCCGAGTAACGAAGGCGGACAACTTTTCTTCCAAGCGTTTGAAAAGAGAGAAAAGATATGTAACGGAGAGAAAGAAGATTAGAAAACGGTATGACTAGTTGCACAATGGTAACCCTGCATTGAATCGACGCGAGTGATCAGAAACTGCAGAGGCCGAGATACGTGTACCGAGGGTGTCTTACCTGCAAGCCAATTTAAGCCCGTCTAGTATATTGAGTGATGGTACAATGAGGGTGTAATGGCTGCTGCAGTCATGGTACGAGGTAAATGAGAGGCTGGCGGCGTGTTAGATGACTGAGAAATACCTGTTGGGAAGTGTCCAGATTTTTTCAGAGCGCAATGCGAGGGAGGACGCTGATGCTTGTGTCGTTAGGACCAGCGAATTTAAGGCACTTCGGTAGCGCGTGGGGGGGTGTCAAAAATCCCGGACTTGGCCTTATTTTTCAAAGTCCGCCTTATTTTTTTTCTACGCTTTTTTTTTCTTTTGCGTAAACGCCGATCGTCCTAATTTCTCGTTTTCTAATATTCCCCGTCCGTTGACCTTGCGTACAGTCGTAGGATTTTATTATTTATTTATTTATTATTACCACGGAGCAGCCACCCCGTTACAACATGCCGCAAAATGAATTGACACCCATTCAAATATTCGCGGATGCTCTTCTTTGACATCGCATCGGCTATTCCACGATGGTTGCGGGTTCACTGACAAGCGTTCACTAGCAACCACTCTCGTATACATGAATGACAGTGGAAGGCGTAGTCAACGACGATCCATCACTGAGCTTCTCTTCCGTAGATGGCTCGTGAGGCACATGTCCATT